TCCGAGGCGAGCGGACGGGAACACGGCTCACTCTGGTGAACATCTGGGCCACTGTGCTAAGGGAATGGACGGGTCATACGCAGAATTTGTCCAAGAGAGAGAAACTGAGGTGATTGAACAGGCAAGGTTGACGAGTTGTGAAGATTCAGAACACATCTGCTCTCTTGCAGAGCACTAGATGAGACACACTACTCCTCTCTCACCCCCGGCCCTCCGAGCCCAAGGAGGTTTACCAATATTTGGATGCTTTAGAAGTCGGCAGATTCGAGCTTCACGTTCCAGTTTCTGGTGATCTGAAAGAGAATAAGAAACAAGGCGTTAAGCACCACAACTCTGAACTAAGCTCCTGTTCGTGTTCCAGGGAGCAAGGCAGCCAGTGACCTAGCAGCCATCCAGAGGGCTGGGATTCCTGGAACATGACCGTCTCCAAAAACCTCCCAGTTGTTTCAGGTGAAGGCTGCGCAGCCGAGGCTGCGGGAGGACCCCAGCTCCTGCTCCGGTGCTAGCGCTGAACTGATATTCCCTCCTCGGATTCAAAGCAAGGAGTGGCAGAGTCAAAGACACCGCTCTTTCATCAGCCTCACAAATACGCAGAGCTGCTTCCAGTGACATCCCTTCTGAGACTTCTCCCCTTCTCCAGGGCTGAGGAGGGGGAGGAAAAGCCTCTGAAGAAACAGCCCCCATGCAATGGGACAAGAATCTGCTTCCACTCCAGAGAAACACTGGGGAAGAAGGGCAGAGGAGGCAGGAGAAACACACAGCTCCTGCTAGCACGCAGCCATGGCGTGAAGCGGGCAACTCTGCCCGCTCCAGTGAACCGCAAAGATAACCGTACTTCAGTACCCACGGACGGACTCGCTGGTGAAATGCTGATCAAGCACCTCAAGATCTCCAGGCGAGTTCTGCCCAAATGCTAAGTATGCTTATTCCAGCCTAAAGGCAACATCAGTTCGAGCACGACTGTCATCTGGATTAAAGGAAAAAAAAAAATATCAAGAAGAGTAAAAAATGGTTTCTCCTCCCTAGAAATGTGATGTGCGTGAGGGCAAGGCAAGGAGAGGGAGCTAGCGTAACTCTGCCCATCTCAGCCAAGAAGCTTTTTAGCCACTGAGGCTCAGACAGGAGATCCTTCACTCGAGCAACGACCGAGTCCCCAACTGGCACCACAAAGCCCCCATCCTCTCAAGCGCAGTGCTCACACGGGACAGGCACAGATTCACTGACAGGATCTGAGGGAGGCAAATCCTTCAGGCAGCCCTGGCAGCTGCTAACCTCTAGACTTTTGGGGACGCAGATGCCTAGAAAGAGGGAAGAAGCAAGGACTGTCCTCCCTCCCCAGTCCAGCCATCAAATGAACATTGCAAGGGGAAGCAGCACTGCTCCTGACACTTCCTCTGCAGCAGATCTTCAGCACACAGGCTTGAAAACAAACCTTCTCAGCATCTCCTGTGACACCACAAGTCTTTGCCAAGGGAGTAAGCAGGACCTTTGGCTGGCTGGGCTACTTGGCAGATCACCAGGAGGAACGCAGCACCCTCCGATTTATAGGAAACCCCCCAGAAACCCACTTCAACAAAGCCACACCACACGGCTCCGCCTAAGAACAGTTGGTGCGGCTCCATGGTCTCTGCGTGGTCTTCCCCTTCCCTTCATCAAGGAAGGCTGCGGGCAACTGCTCTCTTCCCCGTGAGCAGAAGGCAGAGCCCCAGCCAGATCTCTGCCCAGCACACTTTTCTCTCCCAGGCTGGGACTAGCAGCTCAGGGCACTGCAGGATTTCTGTCTCCTTTCCCACTGCTGAACTATAGAAAATGTCCCAATTAATAATAGGGCTGAGATGTGCTTACATCCTCATCTGCTACCTTTCAGGGATGGGGGAAGGTAAATTACTCCTTTCATCTCTCCTGCTTCTCAGTCCTGGAAATTATTGTTGTTGTTGCATATATTTTAGAGCTCCGTGCCAGAACCACTCTCCGACACAGCAGCAGCAGCAAGCGAGCCTGCAGAGCGTCCCCGCTCCCGAGGCCTTGGTGCAGTGCGAGCTCGCACTTTCTCGCCTGCATTGCTGGGGAGGGCGGCGGTGCCTCGGCCTCCCTTTTCGCAGCGTCTCTCCCAAACCAAGGTCTGCAAAACGCGCTCGCAAGACTGCACCCAGGCCAGATTCTCACAGCAGGGCAACAGCTTTAGATCGACTATCCCCACAGCCTGCCTGCACGCCTGGGTCTCGCGAATCCCCCGCTCACCCTCCCAGCTCTACTTGGAACTCCTACAGAAGGGGATCCTTCACCCACCCGGATCACGTTGCCCTCGTGCGCGGTTACACTTGCTGAGAATCTGTTCCCAGCTACAAGGACACGGGGAAGCAGACAGCAAAAACAGCTGAGCAAAGGGGGAAGGAGAGGTAAGGGCTCACCACGTGCTACTCAGCCACCGAGCCCTGACAGCCAGGACAGACAGCTGATGGGAGCAAGGCTCAAACAAAATGACATAACCATCAAAATGCCATGGGGGATGTAAATCAAGAGCAATTGCTCCCCCGAAATCCTACACCGGCGAGGCGGAGGGAGGGCAGCTAGCGATCACGGGCAGCAGCAGCCACACCAGAACTTGTGACGGGAGGTCATCACCCCACAGCCCATCCCTCCGGCACCACGCAGCCTGGCCGGAGACCAGGGGAGGAGTGCAGCGCTCCGGTCACAAGGTACAGGAAACTATTTCTGGTCAGGGGGAAAGCATACCACACTCTTCTGTCTCCAGGGCAACAAAACAGGCAAACTCAAGCACAACTCGCAGAGAGAAAGCACGCTCCAGCCCCAGGAGCACCAGCCCGCAGCAGCCGGAGCAGCGAAAGGTCAGGCTGGGTGGGTTTGCTGCGCGGGTCCTGCGGGATCCCGATCCCGTTCCTGCGGGATCTCCCGTCCCGTGGCAGGCAGCACCAGAACGTGGCCCAGGCTGTGACTTGGAAAGAGCCCCTCTCCACCTCATCCCCAAAGAGAGCCCTTTTTTAAATCGTTCTTCATCGCCCCATGGCCTTTGGCACGGCGTCGGCATTTGACTCGTTCCACGGATCGGCAACGCAGTCAATTTGGGACTCGTGGGGAACAACCTGGTGCCTAAACGCATAAGGAATAAACATGGAGCTGTGACTTTACCTTTCTCTGGTCTAACAACGTTTATTCCCAGTAGGAGATAGAAAAAGCAAAATTCTGAGTCCTGCAGAGCAGTCAAAGGCTGGGCCTTAACACATTTTAACCTTAAAAATGCAAAGTATTCTTCACAGTATTAGAAAAACGATGAAAAGATGACATGGTTTCGGATCCGTGCCTTATCAAGAGCTTGCAAAGCGAATCGTTTCTCCTCCCTCGGCCCAAAAGACCAAGCTTCTTCCTGCAAGGCATTTGTGGACCGGAGGTGTTGAGGTTGTGGAGTCTCCTTCTCTGGAGATATTCCAGACCCGCCTGGCCGTGGTGCTGTGCAGCCTGCTCTGGGTGACCCTGCTTGGGCAGGGCGTTGGGCTGGGTGACCCACAGAGGTCCCTTCCAGCCCCGATCATTCTGTGATTCTGTGATTCGTAACGCCCAGGGGAAGTGCACCTAGCAGCTACCAGCAACACACCCGGCCTACCCTACAGCACCCCAGGCCTAGGGACATCAGGCTTATTTCCCACCTTTCACCAACTACAAAATTCAACCAGCAATTTCCATCACTTGCCTAAAATACCGTACATCCTTCAGAAAACCTGCGGGTTCCCATTCAGGGCTTCAAGTGACAAAGCCATACACCCACAGAAGTTACTCCAAATGTTAGTTCCTGTTACAATTCAGCACTGCTGTTCCACGTTTGAATTCATCTACCTCCTGCTTCCAAATATTGGGTTTCATTAAGCTGTTTTCCTGCTAGGTTACAGAGCTGTCTAGCCCTGAACAATAGATGATGCTTAAAACTTAAGTACAGGATATTACAAACACTCATCTAATATTCATTTACTGTTTTCCAGCCAAAAAAAGAGCATCTTGCTATTTGGACAATTCTTCTACCTACTGTCTGAAGCAATTAGTATCTACACAGACAGAGAAGTGCAGTCTACATTAAGCTCTTTTGTGGCAAAAATTAAAATGTAAATGCTTACGGAGATGGTGCTTAAAAACAGCAGGAGAAAACTTTCTCATGTTTGGTACACAAACTAAGGTGTGAATATCTGTTTCTCTTCACT